AGAGGAGAGGCAAAACTGAGCTAGTAGTGTCTAGTGCAGTAGTGGGGGGAGGGGGGAGGGAAGAGGAGGGAGAGAGCTGAGAGGGATCCAGACAGTGGAGGGGAGGGCAGAGCCAAGTCCACCTCCTGTCTGCCTGCCTGCTTACTTTTAGCCAAAGCAAGGACACAGACATGGGGCTGTGGTGCTGGGCCACACACGCCTGCTGGGTGGGGACAGAGGTGGGGGGCAGTGTGTCCTTGAGCCCTGGGGTTTTCCTGAGCCAAGATCCACAGAATCCACCATCACCTCAATGTCTCGTGGTCTGTCAGAATGCAGGCCTGAGGGGCCCATTTCTCCAGCCTGGGAGATACTTTCTACTCCTCGCTTCTCAAAAGGCTCTTGGTTGGGAGTGGGGGTGGGGAAGGTAACCCAATTGCTCCCTCAGCTGGGGACGGGGTTTCCCATCTCTCCTGCAGGAACTCCTCCCCAGAACTATGGTTGTCCCTCCCCTCCTCTAGTCTGTTTCCCTGTGGTTACGTTGCATTTGCCCTTGAACAAATCACTTAGCCTCCCGTGTTCCATCTGTAAAGTAGGGATAATAATACCCGGGGTGGGGTGGGGAAGGTAACCCAATTGCTCCCTCAGCTGGGGACGGGGTTTCCCATCTCTCCTGCAGGAACTCCTCCCCAGAACTATGGTTGTCCCTCCCCTCCTCTAGTCTGTTTCCCTGTGGTTACGTTGCATTTGCCCTTGAACAAATCACTTAGCCTCCCGTGTTCCATCTGTAAAGTAGGGATAATAATACCTTTCTCATAGAGTTGTTGAGACTACATATTTCATCCGTATGTAAAGAAGTCTGTAAAGTGCACATTTGCAGCATAGCTGAAGAGATCGTTTCTCCGGGAGGAGCCTAAAAGGAAAAGGAGGCAGGAAGAAGTCCGGGCAGGGTCAGGGTGAGGAAATGCTCTCTGGCTCTTGCAGGAACTTAGCTCAGGCCCCTCCAGCAGCCCCCGCTACACCAGCCTCCTCCAGCCCTGGGCCTGGGCCTTGCTGACGACGGGCAGGTTGAGGGGCAGTCGCTGCCAGCTCATGCTGGCCGCTCTCTCCTGTGACACTCACAGAACAGGTCAGGGCAGCCTGCCTGGAGGCTGAGGGGTGCCACAGAGAGTAGCGTGCTCCTTCCTTCAGGGCTGGAGGATGGCCACCATGGATCCCCCTGGAGCGAGGGCCCTTCCAAGTTTGCCTAAGTCGCCAAGGTTGCCGAGGGGGTGCACAGGCGGACCTGGATGAGTGAGGCTGGGGAGTCGGGCGATGGCAGTGAGGCTTCCACAGTGCCTGACTGGACCCAAAGCGCCCTCCTCTCTCTCTCTCGGAGCCGGCTCACAGCTTTACCAGTCTGCAGGTCTGCAGAACCAAGCACCTCGCTGCCGATGAGGAGGGGCGCTGCTGCCCCTGCCAGGCCCGCAACCTGACTCCTTCAGGTCCCTGCGAAGAGCCTGGGGACGTGACCTATGCTAGAAGCCGAGCCCCAGTTCTCTCCCCACCTCCCTCTCTGGATCACAGGGCAGGCCGAAGGACAGCTGCTCTCCTTAGAATTTCTTCGGGGAGGCACCAACAAGGGCGCTCTTTCTATTCCGTGGGCTTCCCTAGCCAAGAAAGGGGAATGAGTCAGGAGACAGCTGCACAGGCAGCTGGCCCTTGGGGAAACCCTACCCGGTGGAGCCGCCAGGGCCTTGGGGAGGAAACGGTCAAGAGCCTGCCTCCTTTGTCTGGCCTGGAAAGAAGGGCCAGCTGCGAAGCGTAGTGTAAGAACAGGACTTTGGACCTGTGATCCAGCTGACCTGGGTTTGAATCCTGGCTCTGCCACTTACTAGCTGTGTGAATTTGGGCCACTTCCCTTTCATAAGCCTGTTCTTCATCTGCAGTATAGAGATAAACACCCTACTAGTCAAGCCTATTGTTGGGGTTAACGTGCGTATAAACTTCTATTACGAGGTCTGACAAGTGTCAGGAGTCCGAGAATTGTTGGTCCCCTTCTCTGACAGGAGGGCATGGGTCAGATGACTTTCTGTACTCAGCGCAGATTAACCTCGGGGCGTGGAGGTGTGATGTGGCTTCTAGCACCCAGGAGCCCCAGTTCTGGAAAATATCCTTTCTATTTTTTCATCGCATTACTTCGACACAGGGTTTCTTGCAGTTGAGGATCATAAGGCTGTCAGCTGTTGTGTGCCTAGGCCTTGTAATCTAGTAAAGCAGGATATGGAAGAGAATGATACAGAAGAGGTTAGGACTGGTGGACATGAGAGAGAGAGAGGGAGGGAGAGAGAGAGAGAGAGATTCATGATAGGTGATAGAGAAATTTATTTGAAGGAATTGGCTCACTTACGGGGGTTGGCAAGTCAAAATGTGTAAGGTTGTCGGGCAGGAGTTCATGCTAAGGTCTTGATATAAATTGGCATACTTCTCTGAGAAACTTCAGTTTTTCTCCTAAAGACCTCAATTGATTGAATGAGGTCCACCTACATTATTCAGATTCATCTTCTTTAATTTTTTTAATTAAATGTATTGGAGTAACATTGGCTAATAACATTATATAAGTTTCAAGTGTACAATTCTATAATACATTATCTATATAATGCATTGCATGCTAGCCACCCAAAGTCTAGTCACCTTCTATCACTATATAGCTGACTCCCTTTATCCTCTTTAATCTCTCCCCACCCTTCTCTCTTCTGGTAACCATGATAGCATTGTCTGTGTCGCTGAG